CACATTCACACAGTATTAGGTTGGCTCCGATGGCTCGTAGCGTTCCCTACGGCTCGTCATAAGATGAAACGGAGTAGCTAGAACCCCGGACGGGAGCGAGACTGAGCAGGACTCTTGGGTTCGGGCCACGCGGATCCTTTCCCTACCACCCTTTCTTCCCCTTCCCAACCCACGGCTTTTCGCGAAAAGGGGAGCCGGCGAGCAATCCGTCAAAACCGTCCCGCCGGTTCTTGTTTACCCTGGATCCCTTTAACTGCTCGTGTCTTTTTGGTGGGTGTGCGTTGTTATTGCTGCGTTTTTGGCTTTCTGCTCTCCCCTTCTCAAGCTCGCCTTTTTTTTTTCTCTCTCGTTCTTTTATTTCTTATTTTTTATTTTTCTTAAGTCGAGGGATGAAGGAGGGTGGGGATGAGGGGCGCCCCTTCATGCGCAATATGGAAATGGCGTCTTTGTCTCTCTGGTGTAGGTTGTAGAAACACGGATTTGGAGAGCGCGACGACAGTGACGGCCGTCGGTGGCGGCGGCCAGACACGCGACTATAGTCACGGACCCAGCACGCAGGAATGGGAGGAGCAGAAGCGGGTGGTGGAAGAAAACGCTCGGAGCGGAGAAGGGTGGAAAGGGCAAGAAGGAGAGGAGTAGGAGCAGTTGGTGATGGAAGAAATCTGCATCAAATGAGATTCCGGCATTGTCGATAAGAACGCCGAAGAAACCTAATCATAAAGCAAGAAACGCGATCGCTGGCAACTAGCTGGCAACTAACTAAATAAATGTTTTACATTTTTTTAGCATTTAAAGGCTTCAGCAGTTCCCACTATCTAAACATACCCACAAATGTGCTCCTATGATCAGGGTAGTGTGCAGAACATTCGTTCAAGCGAGAATGATGGCCGTTCGGTTACAATCAAACAGCGTAAGGCTGCAATAATATTATAAATTTAATCCTCTGTAGCTGCGCCCTCGAAGCCTGGATTTTGGCGCGCAACAATATTTAGAGTAAAACGAAAACTTAGAACACCAAGAAAACTGGCTAATGCAATAAGGTAAACCGTCGAGCGTCAGTTCGAATTTCGCTCGACTCTTTCAAAGTTCGTGACTCGCGAGCGCCGACCGCGGAAACGCGAACGATCGCGACAGGACGATCTCCAGAGAACAAAAACAATAAAACGCACACACACACATACATACACGCATGCAGCCGCGCACGCACAAGCTCCCCCCCACACGTACACACGCACGCACACAACATCTACACAGACACGCGCACTCATACACACAGACATGCACGCACAGACAGACACACGTACGCCCAAAACACCGAGTCCGAGCCTTTGCTAGAAACGCGCTCAGAAACACAATTACTAAAAAAAAAATCGGAGCTACATATTAGAAAAAAAGATATCCCGAACGTCAGATCCCACACCAAGTAAAAGCGGTAGTGGATGCGAGCGACTCCGACAAATAAACGTATATATATATACTACCGGTAGCAGCACCGCGACCATAACGTGAGTGCTTTGCCAGCCCCGTCGGCGCATGCGCGGAGGAGCTGACCCTTTCCTTCGCCTTTTCGATCAGTATTAGAGGAGAATTTTGCTCCGGGAGAGGCTCTATAACTTTGGGAGGAAAAGAAAGGAACTCGGGAAGAAACCTAATTTGCCTGGGCGGCAGGAAAGTAGCGTAGGCGACCTGGCTTCTGGTCTCTTCTGATCGCGTATGCGCGCGTGGCAGCCCCGCCACGCTAATTCCATCTGCCGGTCCAGTTTCTTTCCTCGGCGGGAGGAAGGGTTTCTGACTTTGGGTCATCTTTTGTTACTTTTCAACTCTCGGCTAAGTCCCCCGACAATATTGCGTTAGCGCACTCCTCATTCAGGCAGCTTGTTGTTTTTTTGTTTTTGTATTTTTTCCCCTTCTTGACTTTTTCTGCATTACCTCGATTTTACTTTTCGTACTCAACGTTATTTGTAAATTGTATTTTTTTTTTTTTACAAAGCGAGGACAGCGGAGATGCGTTTCTAAGAAACGCGTTGTGCGGCATTGTTTTTTTTTTTTTTTGCCTGACGGGCATTGTGCAGTTTCTCCTTTTCGACCTTTTCTCGCTCGAATAAGTTTCGTTTCATATTTGTTTTTTGCTCGGAGAGCGTTCTTCTTTCTCTCCTAGCTTTGTTCGGATTTAGAGACGATTATTAGCTCGAGATCGAGGGGATTGAGAAAGGATTGCTCTCTTGCGCTTTCTCCGTGCCCTGCCTAATCCGTTTTAGGCATCTTGATGCGTGTTTTCATTTCATTTTTTACTGAGCGCGAAGTGAGCGCGTTAAGGCAAAAGTGGCCACCTTTCTTTTATCTGTATGTTTTTTTTAAAGGGAAATACTGAAATTAAAGAAACGAAATGTAAAGTTTAAAAAAGCAGGATTTTTTATTTTTTTTATTTTTTTAGAGAGACCGAAGATTTTAAAGTGGTCCCAGTAATGCATTTTCATCTCGTGCATATGCGAGAAAACCGTTCAAGATAAAAAAAAAAAGTTGAAGGAACGACAGAAATAATATAAGGACAATCTAAGCAACAGCCGGAAGTAGTGCACGCTAAAACAAGAGCCGGAGCTTCAGGGTATCTGAAGAGCTCGTGCGCTCGAAAAGGAAAAAAAAAAATGACAACAGGTCGGACAGCATGCTGATAAGGCAAACTTAAAGCGAGAGATCACGTCAGCTTCTACGTTTCGCCAGGGGATTGACAAATACCTTTTTTTCCTTCTGGGATCACGCCTGACGTGAACGTTTGTATGGCTTTTCAAGGTAGCAGTTGGCGATCAACATATTTTGTGCTGCCCGGTAGTAAACAGCATGAGTAACCTTTTATAGTTTTTAATAAATACTAATACTAATTTCAACCGCCTGCCCTTTTTTTTTTTTTTTTGGGGGGGGGGGGGGGGGTGACGTGTACAAAATTAACAACTCGTGTTCCTTTTTTCATCGGAGTGAGCCTCGAACGATACTAAGGGCCGGTACCCGCTTGAACGGGTACCCAGGTGATTTCTTCATGGTCACCGATTTGCCTGAAAATTTGCTAAGCACGTCAACAAACATCGCTGAAATAGTATCCCAAATATTAGGTAACAGTTTGTTCTTTGTGAAGTTATTGAATTTGCAATGGCTGTCGGTCCTCACCGTGGTTTTCCAACTGAAAGTCTCTATTGGCAACAACAAAAAAGTGGGTTCACTTTTTGTTGTTGCCAATAACCCACGCCTTTGTTGCACCCATGCCTTTGTTGGCAACAATAAAGGCATGGGTTCACGTTTAGAGCGCAGCTCATAGGCGCCTGTTTCTGGTTTGAGCGGCGTCGGCGTAACCGCGCGCGTTGAATTATGGGACGCCACAGATTCCCCGCTAAATTTAGCGGGGACACTGAATTGGTGTTGAGGTAACGTGACGTCAATTTACCCGTTAAATTTAACGGTTTAAGTTTTCCCGCTAAATTTACTGGGGAAATTGACGTAAGGTGACCTCAACACCAATTCAGTTTCCCCGCTAAATTTAGCGGGAAATTTAGCAAAAATTTCCCCTTAAATGGGAGGGGTGCAGGAGAGGAGGAAGGGGAAGGGTTGCGGAGGGGGAGGAGAGGCACACCCTCTCCTCCTCTTCCGCAAGAACTGCGCTCTGATTCGGCATTAGAGAGAATTGTAAACGTCTTTCATTTTTGGACTAGATTTTCTTCCCAGCTGATTACAAACAGTTCCATGGTGTCAAACAAACGCCTCGGAAGCTCGCTCCAGTGCGCGCACCATCACAGAACACATGTATGGCATTGACCATTTTTTAGACTGCTTGCTCGACTGGCAAGCCTGCCTTCCACTGACGTCACGGCACTAAAAAAAGCGGGTATATTTGAATGTTGATTTTCGCGATATTTTCATTTGGCGATCTTACAATAACTATTATGAATTTCCTGAAACTAAATAGCATACCGGAAATGGTAAACGCCGAGAATGAAGAAACTATTGTTAGCTGGGGTACCTAAAAAAAATTGCCGTAGGGCAACTCCGCTTCATTATTGTTTTTGAAAAAAACAATGCAGTCCTCTTCAGTGTCATCTAAAAAGACCACACGTCGAATATCACGATGTGGTTCTGTCTAAAATTTTTTATAAGGTCCGGCATGCTTTGCAACTCGCCAAGTTGCCGAAATCGGCTGACTCGAGTGGACGAATTGAGGCGCAACCAACAGCGCAGTTGAGACTACGGCGTGGGCGTAGCCAGCATTGAGCTAAACGTCATCTCCATTGCCTTCATTTTCTTGTTTTTACTTCTCCGGGCAAGCGTATCGTGTGACGTCACCTTCTTCTTCTAAGCGTTGTGAAAGATGGTGGGGGGGGGAGGACCAACGTTTCCTCTCGGCGCTCTACGGTGTTTACGTGATTGGAGTAACACGCCTGCTCAACGCACTTCTTGGGAGCCGTCCGGCCGCTTGCCGTGGAACCGCCGTTACCGCCGTCTTCCGCGTCACAACCACCGTCGTCGTCTTACCGTTTGTGATTATTGTCTCTCGGAGTTTCGTCCACACTACGGGCGCAGACTTATGCCGCATTTGTGCAGACGTCATCGAATGTCGTAGACACCAAAACGTGGTGAAGAGTGCGCTGCAGACGACACTGGCGCCTGGCACACGCCCACCCCAATCCCGCCCGCGTATTTGAATAGTAGATCACGTGACATCTCGTACTACCTGACAGCCATGTTCTTGGCGGCCGGAGGCCAGTGTCGCCAGACGGAGCCGAAGTTTCGGTTTCGGTTTCTGCCCGTGTTTAAAATTAGATTTAAGAACAGATATCCCATCTTTCGCGAAGAAAATGACGTAGATTCTTTTACTAGGGATTTGTAATGCAAAATCATTCATTATCCCGAAATCTTCGGAATAGAGCGGAGTTACCTTTTAACGCTTAAACTGACACAACGGCAGAACGGCGTGTCTAAGCCACTCCTGGACGGCTGTCTTCTCCCCGATGCAGCGGAGCATGCGGACAAGCCCCACGGCAGCGCTCTCCTGCCCAACGGCTTCAGTCCCCAGCAGGCGGCGGCCGCGGCGGCGGCGCACCTCAACGCCACGCTCCCGTTCCTGGCCCTCGGGGCCCACCACCCGGGCGCACATCCGGGCAGTCTCCTGGGCGCCGCCATGGGACTTCCGCTTCCGGGCACCACGCCGCACCATGCCCTGTCGTCGCCGGCGTCCAGGGGAGCCGGAGAACTCGGCAAGGCCACCGCCGCACCGCAGATGGACCCACAGACGGCTCTCAGGTGGGTGGGCAGGTGAATAGGTGGACGGACCTTGCAAATAGGGTGATAGCTAGTGTCATCTAGCGTGTGTTTTGAGAACACAAACAGCGTCACGGACAAGTAGGAGTAGGACAAGCGCGATCCTGTCTTGCTCACTTTATCTACGGCAGTCACTGAGAGCTTAGAAAACGTGGGCGTGGTTTAGTTTACGATAAGGAAAGTAAGTCATTGAAGACAAACAGACAGGACAGGCTTCACATGGTTGCAAAAAACCCGAGACTGCGGGTAAACGACACAACACTAAAAAGTCTCTAACACAGCTGAAATTTTTACTTTCCAAACCTGGTTATATAGGCACTTCGATACAAAAGAAAAAAAGGGGAGAGGGTGAGAACCCCAAAGAATGCCACTTTCCACCAACGTAACCTCTGACTAAACAACAAGGACAACAGACCCTGCGTCACGCACTTCTCTTATCTTTGACCCCTCGCTTCCCGAACGCCAAACACACTGGTAACCCCAAGCCCAGTAACACATGTAAAAAAAAGAAGAAAAAAAAAGAACGACCCATCGTCCCTTCTACCCGAAAACCGACAGACATAAACCTTAAAGGTCAGAACTTTTCACAGCCTAAGAAAACGCCGCAGTTCATTGTCCAACCCAAACGACGGCTTATTAACTGCATTCCCGTGACCTAATATCGTTAATGACTCTTTTATCAACCGCTTATGATCATCTTTTTCCCGCAACTCTACTGAAGTTAGATGCCACAACGGTACACAGTTTCTACATTCGATAACATGTTTTGACACTTCGGAGTACGGGTCTTTTTTCATTATACAACGTTTGTGTTCCATCACGCGCTCATTTATACAACGTTTAGTCTGTCCAATATAACAGAAGCCACAATCAAAGGGTATCTTGTAAACGACACCAGACGAACATTCTACATCCTTTTCTCTGTGTTTTATCGTGCAACCTGAAACAGTTGAGGCAAAAGGGGTCAAACGGCTCAATCTATAATCTGTAGAAAAGGCAGTGCCAATATTAAACCTGCTGGCTAACGCTTTGATGTTGTGCGAAATTTTATGAAAATATAGAAGGACTACTCGCTTTGAAGGTCTAGGATTTTTCCGAATGGACTTCTTTGGACATATCATATACATCAACTGCCTTAAAATATGTTTCTGTGGATATCCAGCAACCTCGAAACGTTCTGTCAGTCGACGAAGAGAAGAGCCAATAAAATGTGAGCATGACTTCTGTACTGTTGAATTGACGAGATTCCGAATTATTCCCAGTTTGACATGTTTAGAATGGCAGCTATTGAAAGGAAGAAGAGGTTTTGCTGCGAACTTTCCGCACTCCCAACAAAGGCCTTAACTATTCCTAAGTTGAATATCGAGATACTGTAAACGGTCATCATTCGGTCTCTCTAGCGAAAACTTTAATTCGGGGGCTGCTTCGAACACTACTTTCTCCAAAGAATCCGCCAAGGAGCCATCTGTCGAACAAACCAAGATATCGTCTACGTACCTCCTCACCAGAATTTCCTTAGAGGATCTATGTCTAAAAGACTCTAGAAGACGCAGATCTAGGTCTCCTAGATAAATATCCGAGAAAGTTGGGGCTACCGCCGAACAAATACACACACCCTGTTGCTGAATGTAACTTTGACCATTATGTAGCACAACCGTAGAAGCTAGATACACTTCTAAAATCCTGAGGACATCCTAAACAGATACCTCCGACTGCGACTGGAAACTGACCAAATGTTCTTCCAAAAAGCTGCTGACGCTAGCCAATAACGTCTTAGGTTCTAAAGAATGGTACAGATCTTTTATGTCAAGTGAAAAGATCGTGCAACCTTTCCACGGAAAGAGGTGCACGATCTTTTCACTTGACATAAAAGATCTGTGAAACTTTTCTTTTCGCGAAATTCGCTTTATTTTAAAAGTTATAGGCAATTTAGAATTACAAAAACAAGCAAAAAATAACCTCCTTCATGACGTCGTAGGTCCTGGCTTGAGTGGTCGTGAACTAGAGGAGGAATAGTGAGCTTATCGAGCGCTCACGGCCGCCGCACTCCGTGTCGACGGCGCCAGAGGGCGCCACTAAAGCATGTTCTGGATAAGCTGTATGCAGCGGGTAGCCAAAGCGGCTTTCATTGCGTTTGTTGCGCGATTGAACACTAATTCGGCATGGCACTTCATTGGCCACAAACGACAGCAAACACGGGGTAAAGATCAATTCAGAATGGGAGCCCACTTCGCGCTGCCATACCGCGAAACGGCCAAACCGCAAGACAAAGCCTCTCGTCGAAGGCCTTCGGAACGCTGGGAGCCGGTCGGATCCCCCGGTCCATACGACTGCAGCGCCACCGCGCACATCCGGGATGTTTCCGTGTCGGCGCCTTATCCCACTATTCCTTTCTAGTATGCGCCGCCTTTTCCACCGCTTGGCGGAGGGTATGTTGACGGGTCATTTCTTGTTTCCATACTTTATAAACTGCATTTCTTTCTTTTTTTCATCTATAATAGTGAACAAAAACTACTTTTATAAATAATTGAAACGGTTCGCGCCACTTATATTTTGTATTTCAACCAAAAAGAAGTTTTTAGTGGCTCTGGCCAGTAGTAAGCCCAGGACCAAAGACGTCACATTATGCGCGCTTTCGGTACAGCAGGTCGCCCTCGTCGTTGGAGGAGGTTTCCGTGTCGTCCGGTTAAAATATGGCGCACTGATATTTAGCTACTCTTTCCGTGCCCTCTGGCTTGCCCGAACCCCAAGAGACGTGGAAACCGCATAAAAGGCAGCCGCTTAAATATGATTGCAGGGCTTCTTTAATTTGCCAGTCTACGATAAAAAGAAAAATATTTGATATATGAATAAATACCCCGATGCGTATTCGCACGTGCATTTGTAATTAAATTTTGTCGTATTTGCATTTGTAATTAAATATTTTTTGTTGAAATATATTTTATCTTTTTATTTAAAAACATTGTTGCAAGTTTTTGTTCATCCTTGATTGGAGTCATTATAATGACAATAATAATAATAATAATACTTTTTTTTTCGGTGCCCCAAAACCAACCTTGAGGTCCTCACTTTAGCATACAAAGGGTGGATTAAAAAGGGAAATAGGACACGGGTTTCGTATTGCTCAAGCTCCAGTGAACCCGTGCGTGTGACCCCGCAACCCATGAGAGAAGGGTACCAGAGGAAGGGCCAGGTACCCAAAGAAGGACATAGCCCCGAGGATACTTCCGAGCGGACTGTGTTCCGAGTCAACAAAAACACAAAGTCGTAGACGAAGAGGTTTTTTTGTGAGTGTGTGTGAATATTGGGTTTCGCTTATTAGGTGCGCCGCACTATGCAAGTCGAAGTTTTTTTTTAGTTTTCCCGATTGGGATAAAACCGGCTTTGGAAAAGTAGAAGGCGGGGGGTGCATTTTTGGGGGTTTATTGGTAAAGACCGAAACGACGGAACCCTTGCTATTACCGACGTACAACTCACAGCCTCGGTTTTCCACGACGCAAATAATATTATTAGTTCCCTCCCCAATATCCAGGATTGTGAAGCAGCTATGGAAGAAGAGACGCGCGCTCTCCATACAAAGAAAAGCACTTGAGCTGCCTGAGCTCTCGAACTTTTAGAAGGTGTAGTGTAGAAAACGGAGAAAGAAATGGGAAAGTTGGGAGCGGACAAATGTGAAAATCAGGCAGCCTACGGACTGTGTTAAGACCTTTTTGATAGAGAGCCGCGGTGCTGAATTATGTGCGCTACCTATTAAGAGCCGAAGCAGATGGACACGGCTGCCATACCGGTGGCCAGAGTGGAAAATAAAAATCTAGATAATATAATCGTGGTTTAGATCATGATTTCAATCGTGGTTTAAGTCGCACCAGTTTTACTGCGATGATTTAAATCAAACCTTTCCGTCATAAATAATTGCCGAAATATATTTTACTTACACTCCGTTTCACTGAAAACCATACAGTACAGCCAACGCTACAGGGGAGAGAGTGTATCCCTTCCTGTTGAAGAGGACGAACAGGGGAGAAAAGTTGGGAATCCCAACCTCTCTCTCATGTTCCTCCTTTCCCTCCTCTTGAACAGGTTGGTATACGCTCTCTCCCCTGTAGCTTTGGCCTTTACTGCACGGTTTTAGTGAGACGGAGAATAGTTTGTCTCTCATTTGATGCTTTCTATTTGCATTTGTTCTGCATCTGGATCAAATAATGATCAAGCAAGAAAGGTTGTAGCGGATTGAACATGAGCAGAAATGAGTGCTCTTCTGAGCGAATTGCAACGTTGAGCTTTCTTTCCACCTTCCCCTTCGTTCTTCAGTTACGTGGCGGTGGCGAGTCATTACAAGAAGATCATTACTCGAAAGAAATAGAAACAAGAAAAATAATGTTTGCGAGCAAATAGAAACGTAAAAAAGGCTATTAAATATTTTTTACTAAGTAGAAAATACCAAGTTGTGTTTGTTCGTATGTGCCAGGATTTATATAAGTAAAAATGTTAATTAAAGTGTACATGAACTGTACATTAATTAATTCGTTCGCATTGTTTTTGATAATCTGTTGAATTGGTCAATTAATCTGCTACGTTCAACAGGCACGTAGCCAGGATTTTGTTTCGGGGGGGGGGGGGGGGGGGGGGCCGCCCTTGACCAAATGCTGTATGAGGGGGAGGGGGTAGAGGAGGCCCCAGCAAAATGGAAGATTTCGGGAGGGGGGGGGGGGGCGGGCCCCATGGGCCACCCCCCTGGCTACGTGCCTGACGTTCAAAAATGTACATCTAGTGATAAATAATTACCTTTTTAGCTGAATAAATTTAAATAAATAAACCCGACTAAAATCAATTAAATGTGATTAATTTGATTTCTAATATCATGATTTTGTGTTTACTGTGCCGGTGGTGCAAGTGCACTCGGGTTCGGAAAGGTCTGTCCGGAGGGTGGACATATTTACCGACCTCTGGGTGGCCGGCATCACCATCGAAATCATAAATTG